TCAGGCATTTACACATCTAAGCACATGCTGATAGATCTGCTATTTGCACTATGCTACTCCATGGTCATCTAAGTTGTCAACACACAAGTTGTAATAGTTCCATTCCTAAACGCAAGGTGCCCCATGAGACATTTAACTCTTCATGATTAAAGTTCACTATTAAAAAGACAAGAGAAGTTTACACAGAAAAAGCTTGTGAAACCCAGTGTTTAGATAGTATAGAACAAGAATACAGTAAGAGGGGACAAGGTCGTGTCTAGCTATAAAATTAGAGGCAGTAATAAAGCTAGGTTAAGAGGTTTCAGTTTTTCTCTTTCAACAAAGTCCTAAGCTAGTCTTATTACCAAGACTACTACTTTTACTTGGGAACAAATCCTGAAAACCTGATGCCACTGCTAAGATTTACTATACCAGTGAATATTTCATTGGGTGAACTCTACTGCAGAGCACAGAAGGGTCCTGTCTTATGAGGCTCTTAGTAGCTCCTCACTGTCATTCCCATGAAATATCATTTCCCTTAACATGCGACTGCAGGCAGTCAGACAATGAGTTTTGAGTTATTGCTGCCAGCCCTTTGTTGTGACCAGGAATCTCGTACGGGGCCAAGCAGCACAAGTAGTTTTCTGAGGAACTGTTGTGGCTCCAGACATGTCCATGCTCTACAGGACTTTTCATAGAAAAGTCCATTTCCGCTTAGTCAGTCAGAACAGCTGAAAGACACAGTTACGTATTTCATAGGGTAAACGACGCTAATCTGGAGGGCAGTCCACGCATAAGAGCCAGGGGCTGCCTTTTTATCCTTCCTGTAAATCTGTACTCCTTAGGCCTCTTTAATAAACTTAAGTAAATGAATAACTAACTGCTCCACTCCCCTCAAAAGCAGTTTCCAAAGCATCCAAAACAGTCTGAAATTTTAGCCCTTGAAAACTAAGCTGACAGCAAAAATCCTACTTTATGACACCTTTAACGGCACTAGAAATATCACAATTCAAGGAAAACTATAATACTGCCCATCTTTGGGGTATAGGCAGTCAATAATTTACCATTAGCAAGACGTATTTCATAAGGGCATGTATGCTGACATCCAGCTAGTGGCATTCC